GTTGCCTCCAGCGAGACACGCTTGCCGGCCTTCGGGAGGCGATGGAACCAAGGAGCTGCGGCTGCACGTGGTGCCTCTGCCCGGCTCTGGTAAGCCGGTGCGTGTCACGGAGACCTCTGGGAGAGGTGACGGCAGGTTCGTGTCGTTAGGCGGCGAGCGATGGGGGGGCAAGGAGGAGAAGGCCTTCTCAGAAGGCGGCGGGACTTCTCAGAAGGCCTCCGGCCTTCTTGGAGGTTTCTTTGCGTCTTCGGGTCAGGCTAAGAGAACTTCTCAGAATGCTGGGGGAGTTCCGAGCCTTCTGAGAAGGCCCGCCCCTTCTCACTCCCCCCCCGCTCGCCGCCGAGTCGTGCCGACCCCAGCTTTAGTTCCTGACTCCGCGTGGATCGTTCAACCTTGAGCGATCGGCGGCGTCTCGATCGCCAAGTCCTTCCATATTGGCCGATTCTGGGCCACCCGAGGCGTTAAACCTGGAACGCCCGCGATCATGGGGTCGGCCGCGTCGACACCACACGAACCGACCGCAAAGTGTAAGAGGGAAGGGTGGTGGGGATGGGGGGAGAGAAGATAATGGGGGAGGGGGGGTCAGAGGAGAAGGGGGAGGCGAGGCGGAGGAGGAGGAGGAGGAGGAGAAGGGAGGAGGAGGGGGAGGAGGGAGGAGAGGGGAGAGGAAGAGGAAAGGAGGAGCAGGAAGGAGGAGAGGAGCAGCAGCAGCAGGAGGAGGGGAGGAGGAGGAGGAGGAGGAGGAGAGGAGGAGGATGAAGGAGAGAGGAGGAGGAGGAGGAGGAGGAGGAGGAGGAGGAGGAGGAGGAGGACGGGAAAGAGGGGGAGAGGGGGGGGGCGGGGACTGGAGGGGGAGGGGGGCAGCACTGCGCACACTCGTCAAGCAGGGTCAACAATGTTTGGCCCAGGCCCGCCCCAGAAGGGCGGCCCGCCCCCCAACAACAAAAATTAGCCTGGCGAAGGACCCAAGCATATGCTGTTGTGAATGAGGGAGTTGCGAGTATCGTCTTCGGTGGAGCTCCCGATAGGGGCCACGAGGCGTGTGAGGGATGTGCTGAAATCGGCGCGATAGGCGCATGCGAACTCGTGTGAGGGATGTGCCGAAATTGATGCGGTAGCGCCATGGGAGCGAAGCCACTGGGCCTTCGGTGAAATCCCCTATGGGGCCACCAAACATGTGAGGGTGTGCCGAGATGGGTGCGGTGGTGCCATGCAAGCGCAGCCACAGGGGCCTTCGGTGAAACTCCCAATGGGGCCACGAAGCGTGTGAGCGGTGTGCCGACATGGGTGCGGTGGCGCCATGCGAGCACAGCCCATGGGGCCCTCGGTGGAGCTCCCTACAAGGCCAAGAAACGTGTGAGGGGTGTGCTGACATGGGCGCGGTGGTGCCATGCGAGCATAGCCACAGGGGCCCTAGCTGGAGATCCCTATGAGGCCACGACGCGTGCGAGGGGTGTGCCGACATGGGCGTGGCGGTGCCATGCGAGCGCAGCCTCTGGGGCATTCGGTGGAGCTCCCTATGAGGACACGAAACGTGTGAGGGGTGTGCCGACATGGGGCGGTGGTGCCATGCGAACCCTCCCACTGGCGTTTTCGGTGGAGCTCCCTATGTGGCCACGAAACGTGTGAGGGGTGTGCCGACATGGGGCAGTGGTGCCATGCGAACCCTCCCACTGAGGCCTGCGGTGAGGCTCCCTATGTGGCCACGAAGCGTGTGAGGTGTGTGCCGAGATGGAACGGTGATGCCACGCGAACTCTCTCACTGGGACCTTAGGTGGAGCTCCATATGGGGCCACGAAACGTGTGAGGAGTGTGCCGGCATGGTGCGGTGGAGCCATGCGAACCCTCCCACTGGCGCCTTCGGTGGAGCTCTCTATGGGGCCACGAAACTTGCGAGGGGTGTGCCGGCATGGGGCGGTGGTGCCATGCGAACCCTCCCACTGGGGCCTTCGTTGGAGCTCTCTATGGGGCCACGAAACTTGCGAGGGGTGTGCCGGCATGGGGCGGTGGTGCCATGCGAACCCTCCCACTGGGGCCTTCGGTGGAGCTCCCTATGGGGCCACGAAACGTGTGAGGGGTGCGCTCACATTGGGCGTTGGTGCCATGCGAACCCTCCCACTGGGGCCTTCGGTGGAGCTCCCTATGGGGCCACGAGGCGTGTGAGGGGTGTGCCGAAACAGAAACATGCGGGGAACAGGGGCGGCAAGGAGGGGGAGGAGGGAGGAGGGGGAGGAGGAGGAGAGGAGGAGAGACGCGGGGCGCTGTCTCCTCAAAACGAAGACCCAGCAACACAGGATGGTTGGGAAAACACTGAAAATAGTGTACTGCCCCCCCCTGGTGTTGGGCACGGTGCAGACTTCACACACTTGTTACGGCGAGTGCATGCGAACGCACTGCCACCCCGTGGGTGCCACAGGTTTCTCTGCGCAATATACGGCAGGCCCCAACGTGCTTCCATCACAGAGAACGAACATCTATACAGAACCAGCAACCTGACGACGAATCAGCGTGGCACCATTCCTGCCAGGACCCCAAACAACTGAAGCTGGCGCTAACCTCTCAGAGGGAGGTCATCCGTCACTCCTGCCAAGTTTCGCCTGGCCCCCACTGGCCTCAACTGGCGGCGCCACCCTCGCTCTGCTCCCGCCGGTTTCTACAGACATCTCGCCGGCTCTCGCCGAGGCGAACTTGCTCCTAATGACCCGCACGCAATCTCAAAGCCCCGACGGCCTGCCCTTCTAGAGCCGTTCTCCTCATCCTTCCACGAGAACCTCCAGAACCTTGGGCAGCGAACGCCCCGCGGGCCTACAACTCCTCACCTGCGCGACGCCAACCAGCGAAGATAATGCCTCGCTCCGCTTCGCGGGGATGCGTCGCGCAAGTTGAAGGCGAGAGCGAGGACGAGGAGCAGATCCGGAGACCATTTCGGTCCAACCATACTTTCTCTTCCACATCATCATGTTCCTCCTCCACCACCTGGCCATCCACCTCCGGCACTTCCTCCTGGTCCTCCTTCTTCTACTGATAGTGATCCTGGTTGTACTAATATAACCATCCTCCATAACATGACCATCATAATCATCACCACCACCATCACCACCACCATCACCGTCATCGTCATCATAATCCACATCATCACCACCACCAACAACATTGCCAAAACCACCATCATCACCTTCAACATTACCATCCTTACACTCATCCCCGTCAACATCCTCATTCTCATCTTCAGTATCATACGTAATCCCCCTCCTTCTTTTCCTCATCATCATAATCATCATCATCAGCAGCATCATCATCATCAGCAGAATCATCATCATCGTTAGCATCATCATCCTCATCCTGATACTGATCCTCGTCCTGCTCCCCAACCGAAACAGAATCCTCATCCTCAGGCACCTCCTCCTCCTCCACCTCATCATCATCATCATCATCCTCACCTTCATCCTCATCCACATCATCGTCCTCATAATCATCCATATCCTCACTCATCCTCATCCTCATTCTCACCATCATAATCGCCATCATTATGCTCATCATTGTCACCACCATCATCATCATCGTCGTCTTAATCATGATCAAAATCAGCAGCACCCCCATCATCGTCATCCTCATCCTCATCCTAATCCCCATCAGCATTCTCAGCAGCAGCATCCTCCTCCTCCTCATCATCATCATCACCATCATCACCTTCATCATCACCATCACCACCACAAGCATCATCGTAATCATAAACAACAACATCATCACCATAATAGTCATCATCGTCATCGTCATCGTCGTCACCATCATCGTAATCATCATCAGCATCGTCATCATCAGCACCGCCAGCATCATCATCAGCATCATCAGCATCATCATCATCAGCATCATCACCATCCTCCTTCTCATCCTCATCCTCATCCTAATTTCAATCCTCATCCTCAGCAGCAGCATCCTCCTCATCATCATCATCATCATCATGACCACCACCACCACCACCATCATCATCATCATCATCATCATCATCATCATCATCATCATCATCATCATTACATATCACCTTCATCATCAAAATCACCATCACCAGCAGCATCGTCATCATGAACATCAGCATCACCATCATAGACATCATCGGCATCGTCACTGTCATGATCATCGGCGTCACCATCATCGTCATCATCAGCACCATCATCATCAGCATCATCATCATCAGCATCATCATCATCATCATCGGCATTGTCATCATCATCGTGATCCGCATCATGATCGTAATCAGCGGCATCGTCCTCATCATCACAATCATAAACATACTCATCCTCATCGTCATCATCAGCAGCACCATCATCGTCACCATCATAATCATCATCCTCCGCCTCCTTATCAGCATCAGCACCAGCATCATCAATACCAGCATCAACATCCTCAGCCTGCTCATCCTCATCATAATCAGCATCATCATCATCCTCATCATCCTCACCAGCTTCATCATCATCAGCATCATCAGCATCAGCATCAGCATCATCATCAGCATCATCATCATCATCATCATCATCATCAACATCGTGATCAACGTAGTCGTCATCATCGCCACCACCATCATCATCACCAGCATGACCACCATCAACAACATCAGCATAATCGTCATCAGCACCAGCAGCATCATCCTCATCATCGCAATCATCATCAGCATCATCAACATCATCATCAACAACAACACCCTCATCAACATCATCATCACCATCATCATCATTGCCGTCAGCTGTTCGTGCAGTTCACCTGCTTCCATCCGCCCCCTCCCTTCACTCCCCCTCCTCCTGCCTGGCCCCGATCCCGCTCGGTCCTCGCGCGTGGCCTACGAACAAGTTCACGTTCACCGCAGCATCTGGAACCTCACAGTGCAGGCGAGATCGCGAGAGTCAAGCCTCAGCCTCGCTCGGCACGACACGCCCGCTCATGCTCGGTCCTGCCCCTCTCTCTCTCCCCCCCCCCCCGCGCCCCCCCCCCCCTCCCTCGGGCGCCTCCACCCGCTCCGCCTGCGTGATCACGGGCACGGTCCCGTGATTGAGGATACTCCTGGCGCCGCGGAGGCTCGTGGTGGGCCAGGGTTGGGGAGCAGGACGGTGGAGGGAGGAGGAGGAGGAGGAGGAGGGGAGGAGGAGGAGGAGGAAGATGGAGAGGGGGGAGGAAGGAGAAGGATGATGAGGAGGAGGAGGAGGAGAGGAGAGGAAGGGGAGTGATCGAGGGAGGAGGAGGAGGGGAGGAAGGTGAGGAGGGAGGAGGAAGGAGGAGGAGGGATGATTGAGGACGGAGGTGTGAAGGCGGGGACGAGGACGGTCCGTCCTCTTCCCCCCTCCGACACGGAGGGAGGAGGGAGGAGGGGGGAGGGGGAAAGGGGGAGGGAGGAGAGATGAGGGAGGATGGAAGCGGGAGCAATGAGCAGGGAGGAGGAGGAGGGAGGAGGGAGGAGGGAGGGAGGAGGAGGGTGGGAGGGAGGGTGGGAGGGAGGGAGGGAGAGATGCTGAGGATGAGGATGATGATGAGGATGATGAGGATGATGATGATGATGATGATGATGATGATGATGATGATGATGATGATGATGATGATGATGATGATG